ATGACATGAAAAGTTAGTAAACTCTGGTGGAGGGGTGCGTGGGGACAACAGAACCTGAAGCTTGGCTCCTGGTCTAAAGTGTGCCTTTTGGGCTCTTCTCGGTTACCTTCCGACAGACCTGAAAAGGTAGTTTCCCTGTGTGACTTCCAAAACGTTCTCAGTTATGTCCCGTCAAAGTAAGACACTTACGTTTTTGTTGGCTAAATGTTTCTGGCTTTTTGGTATTTTAGCCATTTGTTGAGAGCTGTGGGCCGTAATCTTATATGGATGGTTTTCAGAATAATTTTATCTGGCTGTTGATACTGCTCAGAGGCCAGTGGAGTTAGGGAAAAAATATCTCTATGGAAAGAAAAAATAGGGCGGACCAAGAAAGCTATTGCATTTGGGTTTACTATCAAAAATCACCATTGCCCGTATATGGTGGTTTTCTGGGGATTGAGGTTAAAGAGATGGACTTAAACCATTACCTTTTATGTCTACTTCTGGCTTACTATATTTATAGTATTACTGGTAGGGTTGGAAGTTTTGGGGGGATTGGATATGCTGAATTCGTTTGTTCCCAGTTTTTTTAATCCGAGGTGTTTTCTACCCCAGCGTAGAAGGGCCGTATGCCTTTGTTGGTACAGATGTGGTATGGCTGAGAAGATTGTTGCAATTTTTTAAATGCTTTGATACAAGTCTTGGAAATCACCTGCTGTGGTTAATGTTGGTATGGTAAGGTGTTTATGCTGCCTGACTGTGCAACTGAATTAGGACTTTGTGAGTAGCTGACAGAGCCTTCAAAGGGCAGTTCAGAATTGACTAACGTTTTGAATTGTCCTCTGAAGGCTCCCTTGATGAATAGGGAGCCCTAGGCAACTTCACTAATTCAGGCAAACTAGTTGGATTCCCTGAAGTTACATGGAGTGAACAGTCTACTGTGTATTCTGGGATTCCTAGAAAATCTAGGGCTTGTTTACAAAGCGCTAGTTTTAAAAATAAATAAATCTTATTTCTTGTGAATGATAGTAAATGCTGGTAGTAACCTAATCATTATCTTCAAATACTCAAAGTATCCTTCCAAGATTCATAAAGGATTTTGGGGTTTTTTGGGTTTTTTTTGTTGGTCCTATAAACGCAACAAGGATGGTAGGTTTTTATAGCAATGAGAAATGATCATAAATATTGTAAAGCATGGTTATTTTTCCCTCTCTGTTAAGACGTGTTGATTCATGTTGGCATCCAACAAAGATGTGTTAAATTTGAAAATTAATTTATGCTTATTGACAGATAAGAACTTGTGCTCCTGTTTATTTATTGAGGTTTTTAGAGTATCACCACCACCCCCCACCACCCCACCCCCCAAAAAAAAAGCCTTTAGAACACCCCTCCCCCCCCACCAATTCATTCTGCTTTTTCTTACTGTCCATCATAAAGGGGTAGTACCGCTACTGCTAAATTTCATTTCTTTTGTTTTACACTTTTTGCCAAAAGATCCCCAGGGTCAAAAGAATGCTAATTGTATTGAGTTGGCATGCAGCTGGCTTGAAATTGTTCTCCATTCTTTTTTCTCCTTTTCTGTCCACATTTTCCAAATCGCCCACAGATTTATGAATATGATACTGGCCTTCAAATTTTGTCAAATAAAAAGTAGTTTTAAATGAAATTTATTCTCAGCCATTGTTGCATGCATCATGGTCTAGGGGTTACATTATATTTTACATTTTGTTAATGTAATAATACAGTATGGACTGGAGAAAGAATTGCAGCATGTGTTTTCATTTTAATGTTGTAGAAAAGACTATTTGTAAGTAGCATTTTTGAGGATATTTCGTTCAGGATATTGGGTGTTCTGAAAACAAACCTGTAGAGATCATGCAATATGTTCTGCCTTTGGAAAGTCAGGTGAAGTGGTGTTGATCAGTTGATCAGTGTAAGTTGATCAGTTTTATGGGAGGGGGCAAACGCGCTGGGGAAGGGTGCTAAAACTATGGGCAAATGTTTTCAGTTTAATACAGTTTATTTCAGTGAGAATTTATAGCACTTTTGTTTTTTCTCTTTCAGATTACAGCAAAAGCAGCTGTCATTTTTGTTACACTTCAGTATAATGTTACCATTCCTGCCACAGGTATGTATTTTGCAGGAGGTTAGTTATGAGACACTGTATTCGGACATTATTAGTATGCCGTACTTTTTAGACTGAGGGTAAGTGAATTTGTCAATTTGAATAGATAATAAGCAATTTTCAAGGACTTCACTTTATTTTTGGTAAAACTCCATTTTAATTAATTAGGTTAGGGACAGTGTTTCTGTTCTGCTGGATTCATCATTCGTGTTAAAACACCATCTGAGTGGTAGATAAGTTCACATTAATTCTTACTCTGGTTTTGCAAGTGACAATCTTTACTAGTCGAAGCGGTGTGACAGTTCAACATAACTTTATAGTCCCCTTTCAATGCATTTGGGTAAGCTTCCTAAGTGCACTTAAGTTTTCATTTTTATAGTACATCTTTCCAGAACCAAATTTAGTTTTGATGTGATGGAAAAGATGACTATAAACAATCTAGTGATCTAGCTTATGATGGCAGTTTAATTTGACTTCTAGTTGTTCAGCTGACTACAAACTACTTCTGTCTGAAAGGTTCCACTTTGAGAAACAAACTTGTTAGCCGCTAAACTGTATTGGTGCCTAACAGTTAATTTTCTTTGTCTTTCAGAAGAACAATCTGCAGAAACAATCTCTCTCTATCACTATGGCATCAAAGACTTGGCTACGATTTTCTTTTACATGCTTGTAGCAATAATCATACATGCTATAATTCAGGAGTACGTGCTGGATGTAAGTACAAAATATTAATTCCTTTCATCAAGATAATTGTCATGTTTTAATTAGACTTTAAGACAATAATAAAAGTAAACTTTTGCATTAAAACTCTTAACTGTTAAAACATATATTGAAACTTTTAGATATTCTAATGCAGTTAACAGGTAAATGTTAAGTACTACAGCATATAAATAACAATGGACTTCCATTTCAGAAAATTAACAGGAAAATGCACTTTTCAAAAACAAAGCATAGCAAGTTCAATGAGTCTGGGCAACTCAGTGCATTCTACCTTTTCTCCTGTGTTTGGGGAACAAGTATTCTTGTCTCTGTAAGTATGATTTCTCTTCTGTTTGTATTAGGAGATTACAAGAACTTCACTTACGATGATGATAAATAAGTTTTTGGCTTATTTTTCTGGTTTTAGCTGGTTTTAATATTAAAGGGGGGACAAGTTTAGGGATTCTGTGTGGGTTGTTTAAAGTCCAATAGTGTTACTGTTGCTCAGTCTGAGTTAATTTGATTTACTGTCAACTGAATAAGGTAAAACTTTTTAACTCTTTTGTGGTACTTCATTCTCTGTAGTTTTTCTGTGTTGGCTTATTAGTGTAAAATAAACATGAAAAAAGCGTCATACATAGCATTTTGGTGGTCTAGGGAATGGGTGTATGGACAGATTGCTGTAAGCTCAGGTGAGTGTGTGCTTTCAGATGACGTGCTCTTTGCTAGTGGCTGTATGTGTATGAGCTTAGTTTCAAAAAAGGGGAAGAGTATGATGGTTTTTTTTTTTTCCCCCCTTAACATAATGGCTCCTGAAAAAACTTTCCTTAGTTAAGCTCAAAGCTTGTCAGCAGTTTTCAAGGGAAGACTTACGGCTGTAGTGATGCTGGAATAACCTCGATCTCATAAGGACACTCTATCTTGAATGAACACTTGGTTTGTTTGGTTGCTTTTTATTTTTCTAAGCCAATACAGCTGTCTTTTGGTTTTTTTGTTTTGTTTTTTTTTTTAAAGGAAATGTATTGATCTGCAGCTTTTATGTGTGTGTGTGTGGATGTGTGCATGTTTGTATGTACACATGTGCATATACGTAAATACATACATGTATGTATGTTCATTCATTATTTCTGAGTAGGAAGTAACATCTTTGAAATTTATTGGGGTTTTTTGTTCTTTGTTTTTTTTTAGGAGAACTATATATCAGATCCAACCTCTCTGTGGAGGGACTATCCGCACACTCTGATTCCGTAAGGCCTCTTCTTAGAGGATTGTTGGGGAGAGGAGGGAGTGTTTTAAACTCAGGGCGTGTCACATACCACCTGTGTAGAATAAGTAGTCTGTAAAACTACATCAGTCACTAATGTATTTTTGCTTGTATTTATGGAGGAACTTGATTCTCTGTCAATTTGTAGCATACAGAGTTGTCTTTCTGTAGGCTGTTATTTAAAGAATTAAGTTTTTGCAAGCTTTTTTTGTCTTAATGATTTTGTTAATAAGTAATATTCTTCAATTCTTTCTATATTGTGCAGGTTTCAAATGAAGTTTTTCTACATCTTACAGTTGGCATACTGGTTTCATGCTTTTCCAGAATTGTACTTTCAGAAAACTAAAAAAGTAAGTTCAAAATGTAAATCGAAATAACTCCAAACAAAACGACTCAAACAGTGGAATAGTTAATTTCTTTTGGACTTGCAGAGTAATGTGTTACCCTAGATTTCCTACCCTGTTCTTATTTGTGTTACCCATTTTTCCTGATGGAATTTTGGGTGCTCAAATGTCCGCGTGAGAAGGTACGTTTTTTCTTTTCCGTTAAATCCTGTATTTCTAACTGCAATAAAATCGCTGTGTATCTGTTGTGTAAATAAAAAATATTAGTGTTTCTCATCTACTAAAAGAATCTTCCCTTGAGCAAATGAATGTGAGATTTTCTTTTCAAATTCTTTTTTTTTTGTTTCTTGTAATTAGTAGTCTGAATAGTCTCATTGAAATCTAGAATTGCTTCATGAATCATGATACAAGTGTAGAATATAAGCAGTGAATAATTTGATAAATCCAAGGAATGTTAACTCTGGGATTTGATTTAAATACCGCTGTCCTCAGCAGAAGTTGTATATTGAGATTTTTCAATGCTCAATTTTTAACAGCATCCTTTCCCCCGTAAGAGTTTTCTGTCTTGGGGTTCTCAAAACACTGAGTTTACTGTAGATTTTTTGTAGCACGCTTTTTGCTTTCCTGGACTAATTTAAGTAGTCTCTTTGCATGTTTTTGTTCAGGCTTATTTTGCATATGCAGTTTCCTTTTTAAACTTTTATGTTTTAAACCCTTCAACATGGCTTCACCAAGGGCAAATCATGCTTGACTAATTTAGTGGCCTTCTACAGTGGAGTGACTGCATCAGTGGATGAGGGAAGAACTACTGATGCCATCTACCTGAACTTCTGTTAAGACTTTTGATATGGTCCCCCACAGCATTCTTACCTCTAAATTGGAGAGAGATGGATTTGATGGATGGACTGTTAGATGGATAAAGAACTGGCTGGATGGCTGCTTCCAAAGAGTTACAGTCAGTGGCTCAATGTCCAAGTGGAATCCAGTAACAAGTGGTGTGCTTCAAGGGGCCATACTGGGACCAGTGCTATTTAATATCTTCATCAACGACATAGACAGTGGGATCGAGTGCACCCTCAGCAAATTGGCAGATGACACCAAGCTGAGTGGTGTGGTTGGTTTGCTTGAGGGAAGGGATGCGATCCAGAGGGATCTTGTCAAAGGAGTGGGCCCGTATGAACCTCATGAAGTTCTGCACGGCCAAGTGCAAGGTTCTGCACCTAGGTTATGGGAATCCCCAACAGCAATACAGGGATTGAGAGCAGCCCTGCCGAGAAGGACTTGGGGGTACTGGGGGATAAAAAATTGGACATGAGCCAGCAATGTGCGCCTCCAGCCCAGAAAGCCAGTCGTATCCTGGACTACATAAAAAGAAGCATGGCCAGCAGGTCGAGGGAAGTGATTCTGCCCCTCTGCTCTGCTCTGGTGAGACCCCTCGTGGAGTACTGCGTCCAGCTCTGGAGTCCTCAGCACAGGAAAGACATGGACCTGTTGGAGCGGGTCCAGAGGAGGGCCACAAAAATGATCAGAGGGATGGAACACCTCTCCTATGAAGAAAGGCTGAGAGTTACGGTTGTTCAGCCTGAAGAAAAGAAGGCTCTGGGAAGACCTTATTGCGGCCTCTCAATATTTCAAGGGGGCTTATAAGAAAGATGGAGGAAGACTTTTTATCAAGGCCTGTAGTGACAGGACAAGAAGCAATGATTTTAATCTGAAAGAGGGTAGATTTAGGTTAGATAGGAAGAAATTCTTTATGCTGAGGGTGGTGAGACACTGGAACAGGTTGCCCAGAGAACTTGTGGATACCCCTTCATTGGAAGTGTTCAACATCAGGTTGGACAGGGCTCTGAGCAACCTGATCTAGTTGAAGATGTCCCTGCCCATGGCAGGAAGGGTTGGACTAGATGATCTATAAAGGTCCCTTCCAGCCCATACCATTCTGTGATTCTGTTGTTGCTCTGTAACTAGACTGCGTATCTGCTGCCAGAGTTCTGCTTTATTCAAGAAAATGAAACATACATGTTAGGTAACTGTAGGTCTTTGTTCTAGAGCCTAGAAGAGGTTTGGGAAAATAGTAATGAGATGCTTTGTTTTCATGCCGATCAGGTGCAGTATAAACACTGATGTTTTGCAGATACACTGCAGCTGATGTTCCCATGTTGCGCTAGTGATATCTCTTGAATTTGACTTCATATCCCAAGTGTGGAGTTTTTTAATAATTTCATGAAAGCTGTCACAAATGGCAGAACTGCTGTATTTTGAATAGTAGTGTTTTACTGGGTCACTGCTTGGAATTTTGGCCTCTGTCTTTTGCATTAAGTTTTGAGAGTGATAGTTCATTTGTTTTAGCAAGTTCATAGTTGATATTTCTTTCACCACAGTTTAACCTCTGCCATCTTGGCTTCTCTGCCTTATTCCTTTTCTTGAAGGAACTGGCTGCTTTTACTCAGGTCTAGTTGTCTGCACTGCTGACGTAGACAAGAAGTTCTTAACTCAGCTTTCTGTATAGTAGTGTATACCTCCACCTGCGTTATTCCAGTAGGCCTTCAGTCTCTGACAGTTTGTCTAAGCAGGCAGCATGGGCTATTTAAATGTTACCTCAGTTCTGAAGATAAAGTGCAAAAGGCTCGTCCTGGTAGTACTTTGAGAAACTGAGCATTTGTACTGACTATTTGCTAATTTGTCTGAAAGAACTCATTTTTTTTGTTTTCTTTCAGATCGTTTAGTGTAGATCTTTCTCTATCTGTTTTCTTACTCTGTGTGTGTGTGTGTGGTTTGCTGTTGTCACAAGTGTTTGATTCTGTGCTTTTGTTGGCTTTGAGGTGGCGTATTGCGTAACATAGCATAGATCTTACAAGATTAAATTTTTAGGCCTTTTTTTCATTACATGTATACAAGACAAAGCTGGAGCCTCTTGCTTGAAGTTTAGGGAATCTTTCCAAAAAGTAGGAATTTCTTCAGCACAACTGAATGTACTCTGCATACCTCTTCAAGACAGATTTTTATTGTGATCTAGCATACTTTAGTGATTCTTTTCTTCACAGATGGCACCTTCTGCTTTCATTGTGCTGTGTGTCTATACCTGAATTCATGTGTCTCCCTTTTTATTATTTCGTCTCCGTGAAGTGTTCAATTGAATGGGGCTGGCTAAAACCTAACTTGAAGTGTGACCATGTGGCTCAGCGTGACTGGTTAATAACGTTCTTCTCTGTATTTGCCAGCAACGGTGTGCCAGAATGTTAGATGATCTTGAATTTTTAAAATAGGTGTCTACACTTGGAAACCTTTTCATTTTGGTTCATAAATTGTTATTTTATTTCTGTAGCAATCTGACAGAATCTGATGGGCAGCAAACGTGCAACTGTACAAAGTTATCTGATGATACAGTAATACCGAACAAGTACTGTAATAGTACAAATTCACAGTAGTCATATCAAATAAAAACAGGTCCTTTTAAAAAGCATCTTTTTGATGTTTGATGTGTTTTCTCACATAGCGTATGTCTAAGATACCGAATGTTATTAGTAAGTAAGCAATAAGTTATGTGTGGAATTAGATGGTCTAGGCTGAGTAATTCAATGTCAGAACAGGCCACGTTAAGGTAGCTGATAAACCAAGAAGAATTTCCAAGACTAGGAATAGTTTGTAGTAATATATAATATTGTACAATAATGTATAACATTGTGTGTAACGCATAATTACTTTTTTCTTCCTAATAGGAAGATATCTTTCGCCAGATTGTCTACATTGGACTTTATCTCTTTCATATTGCTGGAGCCTATCTCCTGAAGTAAGTCAACTGTAAACTTTTGCTGGCTTCATTCGCTGACTTAAACATCTAACAACATTTCTGAATGTTTGTTTTATTTGTTTTGATAGTCTGACCCATCTTGGACTTGTTCTTCTGGTATTGCATTACTTCGTTGAATTTCTTTTCCACATATCCCGTCTTTTCTACTTCAGTGATGAAAGATACCAGAAAGGGTAAGTAGTCTTTATCTTTTAAATTAATGTAATTTCTGTCTCAAAACTTGTACATTTAACTAACCAGAAAACAAAACTACAAGAAAGTTCAAACGGTGTTTCCTTACAGGTCACAGTTCTCCAGACTAGTTTTAGTATTTATATCTCTAAAAAAAAAAACCTTTTTTTTTTTACCTTATTTGCCTATTTAATTGAATGTTAGTAGCAGTATAAAATGAAATAAAATCCTACACTACGTACTAATATTAAAAAAAAAATTTAGAGAAAGGAACAGCATAGGTTGCTAATAGAGCCAGTTCTATAGGAACTAATAACATGCTTATGTTTTAATAGTAATGGAAAGCACTTTCCGTTGAGTTGAAATTAGTTTTCGGAACATACTTTTGGTTTGTAGAAAAGGATTCTACAAAAGTGAGGCAGGGCTTTTCTTGCTTTTTGTCTTCTGTGAGTACTAGAAATACAAGACTAGGATAGGTGCAAAATAATGAATTTAGGTAAGTTCTTAAATTTCAAACGAATTCACATGGTGAAGAGTAAACAGTTGCATTGTTAGTACTTGTGTTGTGAACGGAAAATTCATTTCGTGTTTGTGATGTTTTTCTTTGTAGATTTTCACTGTGGGCAGTTCTTTTTGTTTTGGGAAGGCTTCTCACCTTGATTCTCTCAGTCCTCACTTTTGGCTTTGGACTGGCAAGAGCAGAAGATCAGCAGCTGAATTTCAGTACTGGAAACTTTAATATCCTGGCTGTTAGGTATAGTAAACTTTGAACGGTTCTTAAGCATGGGCTGTAAACTTGTGTTAAATACACAATATAAATGGTATGGTATTAATGCTAGTAATTCTGAATGGTTAGGTGTTTTCATGCAACTGATAGGTTCAATAGGAATAGCTTCTGTAACAAACTTGCAAGGCACAGTGAAATGAATTGAAGAATTTACAGTCTAGAGCTGAGAAATCCATAACTCATTTTTTGTCAGAAAAAACAGAATTAAAAGGAATGTCCAATTACAGAGATTACTTTCAAATGTTTTAGAGTTAGTGAATTGAATTATAGATATAGTTGCAGTGGGTTTATCTGTAGAGGTCAAGGCATTATGCCCTGAGCATCTTTGGTCCTGGTTGAAGATTCCTACTTCTTTCTCTGCCTTTATTATGGCTCCTACTGCTGCTATGTGATGCAGAATGTTCAGCCAACCACCTGGCCTCTTTATGAATTAAATCCCGAAAAGGAAGTTATTAAAACATTGACAATGTCAGCATTACCCTGCAGAATTGATACTCAGAACTGCAAGACTGTCTTAAACCATTTTCAGCTGTTACTACGTGGTATCTTGAGAGTAATACTGAGAAAGGAGAAAGCAGGAAAGAAAAGTAGTGCTTCCCAGTTTTGATGGAGGGGCAAAGACCTCACTCTCACTGTGTATCTAGTTTTGTTCAGCTGTGCTAAGTCCAGTTGCCCTGTGTGAGCTAACTCTTGCATGGCTTAGAAAATGGATATTGCTAGGAGGACGGGGGGAAACACACACACACAAAAAAAATGCCCAACCTTGAACTTTTACAAATTCATGTTATCTAGAAGGAATCACTCTAATGTGTTTGAGGAACTTGAGTAAAAAGGCAGTTTATGACATATAAAAACTATCTGAGGTGGTGTTCTGCTTTCCTTTTCTATTTGAATAATGAGATAAACTTACTGATAAACTTTTACCTGTGTTTTGTTTCTAGAATCAGTGTGCTAGCCTCCATCTGCATGGCTCAAGCATTTATGATGTGGAAGTTCATTAATTTCCAGCTTCGGAGGTGGAGAGAGCATTCTTCTTCTCAGCCTCAGTCAGTGAAAAAGAAGTTTGTAACAGCTAAAGGAAAGACCTCCAGAAAAGAGAGAGGTTTGTATTTTCGGTTTTTCTGTTGCCTTGACTTCTCAAAAACAACTTTAGGTAATGGTGAGCCTTTTTTTAATATAATTACTAAAGAAACATTTTATGTTTCAGTTGCAAGTGAGATGACTTGGTTACAAAAACAATATTGGTGAATATTGTTGTGGATTGTTTTTTTTTAATTAAAAAAATTCACTATATATTAATTGTTTGATTTTTCTCTTCTAATTGACTGAAGGAATTACCATTTCTTTTGTTAATGCAACATGAGATTGTTATTATGTCTAATTTTATTACTTGAGCAAAATATGTCATGCTTATGTTTTGTTCCCTTATAAAAGGAAACAGACACATTTTTAGATCTGTTCTCACAATCAATTACTTCCAAATTTTTCTTGCAATTGATTTCAAGCTTGTTTTTTATTGCCACTAAGCTCTGAGGTTTTAGGGCAAGGAGATGGTTTGATGATCCAGTAAAATGATCCAAAGCTTATATTGGACTGTTTTTACTAAAAACAAAATTTTGATACTTCTTTTAAGGGGAGATTGTTAACTACTTACTACTCTAAACCTGTGTAGAAGCATTTGGAAATGAACTAATGACTGCAGGTTTGACTTCTTGATTATGTCACACTTTTTTTATGGAAAGGGCATGAAAGATGAACGAAATGCTTCTTCCTCCAAGGAAAATTATGTGCTCTATTAAAAAAAAAAATCCCCACACTTCAGTATGTGTGTTGTACCAACAGTTAAACTTCTGTATATTTAATTGCTAGCTTGAATAACTTCCACACTTTTTTGAAAAAACTGCTTGAGTCATTTCAAAAGCTTATTTCAGCATGATCCTTTGCCACCAATCATGTATTGCCAACCTGTTCCACTTTCTGATCTATTGAATGTAACCGTGTGTGAAGATCATTTGCCCTGAGAACTAAGGTTTGTGGTCAGAGATCAATTCAGTGATTTGTTTTGGTTTGGGGTTTTTTTCGGGTTTCTTTTTTAATAAAATCATGTGCTTTAGAGTGTTTCTGTACTCCCTTTTGATGATTTGTAATTATCACAACTTGGCTTTTCTGTATTGTTGGGGTTTTTTTGTTTTCATCAGAAAATCCAGTTGGACTTTTTTTAATTGATTGAAGGTAGTTTCCTATGTAGATGTCCTACTTAATCAGAGCTTCATGTTCATTGTGTCTTACTAGGTTTTTTGTGGAATTAATTTAAATCTTCTATGACAAATATTTTTAAAGCATAAACTTAAATGGCATTTCAATCAGTGAGTCAAAAATGTAGTAGCTTTTCAAAATCTTTTAAAACTATTTCATTCATCTAATTTGGTGAATTTGCTGGTTTTCACCCAACTTCAGTGGAGACTTGCAAGTGGTAAACGAATAGTGAAAAAGGCAGTTAATTGGACTTGTGGTTTAATTCACAAAATAATTGAGTTATGCCTGTTTTAAAGACTGGGGAATTTTACAGCTTATTTTAAATGGAAAGAAAAGAACTTTAAAATCTGAAAGGTTAGTGTTGTTTCACATTCTTCTGTTTTGAAGATTCCTGTAATGTTATCTGTTCAGAACACTCGCACAGGATGCAGCAAGACAGTGTTTTTAAAAGAGTAATATATGCAATTAAACAGTTTAAAACAGTCTTTTTTTTTTTTTTTTTCTTTTCTTTTTTTGTGGTTGGATGGATTTTGGGGAGCCAGGGCACAATGAAATGTGTTACTTTTAGACTGTGCCAAAAGCAAGAAATGACAGTAGAAAAATCCTACTGGTGATGTAGGTGGGGTACCCAGGCACATGCTGATTCTTGTTCTTTGTTTTACTTTCACTTGTTTTGACTTAACTGTTTAAGAAAATATGATTTCAGTTAGCTGGCTTGGGTCTAGCTCATTGTTTGTAAGCTTCTTGATTTAAGAATAACACAAACTTTTTGAAAAGTATCCAAAGACTACCTTATGTAGGCTTAAAATGGTGTGTCATTTACAACCAAATATGTTGGATAGACTTTGACTGTTCCTATGTGACTAACTGGGCCGGTGTCTGGTCTCATTCTCATGTATGTTTCTGATTTTTTTTTTTTTTTTTTTAGTCGCTTTTTTTGCATAAATGGGAGCATTTGGGTGTAGTGGGGGAAAAAGGGAGAACAGTTGGTTTTGTGGATTGGCCACACTCTTGTGTGGCAACACATCTGCAGATGGAAAACATTAATTTAGCCAGTTATTTGTACAAAAAACCCACAATGGTTGCTTGAAGTCAGAATGATACTGTAAGTTGGAGCAGCGATGTTAAGCAGCAAGCATTATAGCTGGCTATGAACCCTGCTCTTCAGATCTGTTTTATAAATATGGTTACTGTCAGGAAACATCTCTGCTGCCTTGGGTTGTGGTGACACTGAATAAAGGGGATACTTGTAGTTCACAATGGTATCATGTTGCTCCATTTTACTGTAAGTTGTGTGCATTATAAATCCATAGATTGTGGGTCATTGTTCCAGGGAAAATTTTTGCTATCGAATAGTCACTGTGGTACTTGTACAGATTGAGACCTCAAGGTGCTTGTACTCTTGAGACCTTTAAGTTGGCCCAGAAGTGGGATAGAAATAGAGAGTTGCAGCTGGTAACATGTTCTTGCTTTGTCTTCTTAGATAGGTGCCTGGTCTTGTGCCTGAACTCTTTCCATGTACATATACTCATCTCAAATCTAACTAGTGTTTTACTTCTGTCAATCCTACCTAATAAATATCTTCATCAGAACATAAATGAATTGTATATGTTAACGTATATACTTAAAAAATTGTGTGTGTATGTGTATATAAAGATTTCCTATATATATGAAAAGCTTGTAAAGGTTAAGTGAAGGAGTGTAATTTTAGCAAGAATTAAAACATGAAATAGGTGGGATAAACAATAAAGACCTATACCAGGGAATTGTGTGTATACTGTGTGTCTCCAAAATTTCACAGGACAGTCTCATCTACACGTTGGGTATTTTACTTTTTAAGCTGGTCTTGATTTTCAGTCTAGATGTATATAATGAGCACATTTCAGTGTCTGTCCATGTCAGGAAACTGGACTTTATCGTAGTAAACTTTAAATTTTGCACTTTGTAAAGGCTTCATTATACTGTTGCATTATGAATGATAATGATGAGGTTTAACAAAGAAGATACATGAGAAAAGAAGTTAAAAGACTGCTTGTATAGGACCTACAAAAATGTAATAAAATATAAAGCGTCTCATTGTATTTGAAAAATGTTTTCTTTTTTTTTCTAGAAAATGGAATAAATGGAACAGTGACCTCAAATGGAGCAGACTCGCCTCGTAGCAGGAAGGATAAATCCTCGTAAAACTGGGTTTTATTAAGTTAATTGACTAATGTCCCCAAAGAATCTGCTTTTTACATGGATGGCCCTTCAGCACTAGAGATGTTATGGATTAAAGAAAACACGATTCATGGGTTTTGATTATTGCTGTTGTTTTGAGAAACTTTTTTTAAAAGCCATTTTGACTAAGGAAAACGGTTTATCTGTCTTCAAATACTTGGGTGGGGGGATACAACACTTTTTAAATAACATTGACACTTTTAAAAACATTTATTGTGATGAAATAACTTCACTTAATGAGGATCACTGTTGCAACATATTATTTCCTTCCAGTTTTTGTAATCTTGGTGATACACATACTGTTTTACCAACTTCACGTTTTCCAAGTTCTTCAAGAAGTATTGCAAAATTGAAGTAAAAACTTAGTATGCATTTTCAGATACTCTGGCTTTTCAGTTCATTATCTTGATTCAAATTTACAGTTCAAATTGGGATTCTGAGACCACACCGATAAACCTCTTTATTTTGTAGTTGTTAGCTACACAATGTCTACTCTAAGAATTGCCCCATATCATTAAAACAAAACTGAACCAATTGGAAATGTTGCAGAGTCTTATTGTTTGTTGGTTAGAAATCTCTTACGAGGAACAAAAAACCTTTTTGAGATACAGCTTTAGCACTTGAAAATTAGAAGGGAGCGTGTATGGTCATAGAAAGTTGATCTGAGTAGCACTGTTAACTCCTATCTGTGCTTTTAAAGCGTAGGTATCTTGGAGAATTAGTGTGCGTTGGACCTTTGAAAACTTGTCTGTCTGATTTTAGAGGGTGGAGGTTCTTACAATGTGGTGTTGTGTTTGTTTTAGGAGGCACTTAATGCTCCATGAAGAGGGAATTTATTAGATAAATGGATCAAGTTATGAGAAACATTCCTTTATTCTAACTGCTTTGCTTTGTTTCACCTCTGTTAGGAAATAGTTTGATTTCTCCTATATATATTTTTATGAAAAAATATTTAAAAGCTACAACTTCTTAAAACTGATTTATTGTGCCCTTTGCTACGACTGGAAAAATCTCAATTTAAGACTTTTTCCATTATCTTTCATAATTGTATTAAATGTGAAGCTTTGTCCAGTTAATTTTCCAGTTTAACATGCCGTTAATGTTTCCTCTGTACCCTTTTGTAATGGGTATAATTCAACCCATTTCACTTGAGAATGAGTTAGAGATTTAATTCAGTCTTAAGTTGCTAAATTAGTCTTCCAAGTTAACCCAATTATTGGACTGCTTATTGATTGAGAGGAGTAATTATGAGCAATCAAGCTGATAAATAAAATAGTTTTAATTAAAAACTGTTACTATATTTGAGTTTATACCCAACAAAATAATAAATCTGCATTCTGTATCTTCTACGGTTCAGTTGCTTACTATACAGAACAAAAGTTTCTAGTACAAAATCTTCACTACAAGTAACTATCCATTCTTCAATCGTTTAGTGCTATTTAGAGTTATTGCAGTATAATTTATTATATGTTTCGGCTAATTTCAGTCACAGTTCCCGAGTACTTGCTTCACAGCTCCTGAAGTGGACTTGACAGACTTGGACTTGCTTAGCTTGTGAACTCTGGGGCAACATGCCCTGTAATATGCTCAGTCTGCTTCAGTGGAAGTAACTATACCATGTCTTGATTTGAATAAATAAAATTCAAGTGGTGAAACTGTGAATCTATCTGATCTGACCATGAAACTGGAAAATTGGAACTCAGAAATTTTGAGGGAATTGCATACATTAAATGCTGCACAAAATCATGTTCAGTGTCTGATGTTTCTAAGAAGACCTTCATAGATTCTGTGTGCCTTGCTCTCAAGTTGCACCTTAAGCCAAAAGGGGCAAATTTTTAAAGTTTCTAGTCTGGTACTTTGACTCTAAATCTGTTTGCTTGTGATACCTGGTTGTACTGGGGCTGTCGAAATCATAAAGGGTGGAGGAACAAATTATGAAGGGAGCTTTTAAGGTACTGCTTGAGATCTTTAAGACTTACTGGAGTCTGAGGATTGTAATAGTTTTTTCCCTGCGGCAAACTGTTTCTTGTAAACCTCATTCTTTGGCACAGTAGTCTTGAAATGTAAACTTCAGGTTCACTTCCAAAAACTTCAAAAGAGTATATTTTTACCTGTTAATACTGACATGGCTGTTTGTCTCCTTTTGGCCTTATGGATGTTCTCGGCCTTTGGACTTTTAAAAAAAATCACTTTGGTTTCCACAATGGCTTAATCTTCATCCTTGCCTTATAGGAGTTGTTGCTTTCTGCCAAGTAATAGAGAATAACTTCAGTTGTTCTAGAATTTGGATAGAGTGTTGAAAGCCAGTATCTTTTGTCTATTTATCATTTTGGATGAGGCAAAAGCAGGAATTTTTAATTTTCTAAATTAATTTTGGGGTGGAAACCCAAGAATTTAGAAGATTTTGAGACTTCTATTTCCAGTTTGATATTACTTGTTTTGGCATAAGATTATTGTTTGCCTGGATAACTTCTTTTGAATTGGTTAAAACTGATTTTCAAATGTTACTGCATTTTGGCTCTCTGTAATCTGGGATTCAGTAACCTGGAGGAAGATTAGTTGTCTAATCATGTTTTCTTCATTAGGGAATCAGGAAAATTAGAAATGGAAATGTCTGAAGAGCTCATCATTATATTCCTATGCCTAATAAAATAATTTTTGTTTAGGCTGTAGTAATTTTTCCTGGTCAATTACCAGGTCCCACAAAGACAAGGCTTTGTCCGTGTAGATGGATTTGAATTGAGTAATTCGTACAGACTGTGGATAGGGTTTGTTGGGTTTGTTTTTTTTTTTCTTAATCCCCCTCTTCCCTGCCCCATCCTGTCAGAACTTTTCAAGACTTACAACAGATGATTTCAAGCCTTTCCCCCTGCCCCAAATATGTGTTTGGTTTGTGTGCCAGAATCTACTATCAAAACCAGTATTTTACTTTTACTAAGTAATTATATGTAACTTCAAAGTACAAACAAGGAATGCGGAGCAGCTGAAATTAATTTTCAGAGTTTTTGTTTTTATCTGGACGTTTTCTCCTCTTGACTAGTTGCAAAGATTGATTTCTCCTGTGTGAATTATTCATGAACGTGGCTCTTTGGAAATACTTTTTTTCGGGTGATCCCATGCCCAAACTTAGGAATGATCAAAGGATTTGCTGTGCAGAGAAAATGCATAGGCTATTTCTACTGACGTTAGAATATGCTGAAAGTAAATTAAGTATGTTGGGATAATGCATTTAGAAAATCAATAGTTATTGGTAAGCATTTGATATTTTTCCTAAATGCTTTTTTCTTTGAAAATTTTAGTTGTGTTTATGGAGTTACATTACCCAGAATTGTAATAACCAGTGTGGTGCTTTGGTACAAGTAATCGGACTTCTGTAAAAAGGGTTAATACACATCTGCAGTCCTTTTGCTCTTTGCAGATTTCTGACTAACTGCACCTGAGGTGATTTTGTTGGGCAAAACTTGATATTAAAGGGAAGGGAGCATTTCCATGGTCAGCTAAGATGAAAGTAATGTAGATTGCTGCCAGAATTGGGGTTCTGTCCCTTGCCTTGTCTAGCACAAGCCTTTCTGGTTGCATGGTGAACTAGATCAGGGAGCTTGTGCGGCTGAAAACTAGCTTGTTTGCTTAGCTGCTTTTCCACTGGTTGGAAAAGCCTGATAGTAATCCTGGAGGTACTCAAGTATTTATGTATAAGCAAAAAGAAAAGATGCAGGGAAAAGGTGAATCAAACTCTAAGGCAGCTACCCCTTTCAATTGTGCATTTGGTTGAAAATTACACTAGATTACAGTGTGAGTTGGGAGATCTCACTGGAGGACTTCCAGTCATCAATACCAGAAGAGAGCTGGTCTATTTGGTAGCTCCTACGTGCCAAACTGTTCAAGTGTAATGGATTTTTGTCAGATATTGTGGGCGGAGGGGAAATACTCATTATGCTTTACTGTACTGAGATACCTTTTATCAGTCATAGTTTTGGGGTTTCCAAGCAGAGCAAGATGATAATGGTGGTGTAGAAATAGGAATTCTGAAAATGTAGTTTCTCTTGGATCAAGAAAACAAGATTACTTTCCTTAACAGCCAGGAAACTGCAGGTTTTTTGCTTTTTGGTGTGGGATTGTTTTTTTCTCCACATGAACCCTTTATTGAAGTAGGTCTTCCAGAGAGCTTTGCAAGGATTGCGCTGTATGCCTGTCTAGGTACGTGGAGGGGAGGGTTGTTTGGTTTCTCTTATTTTGTTTCCCTGTTTTCAAGAAGTTCACCAGCTGATTCCTAGGTCATAGTTGGGTTTGGTTCCGTTTGTGACTCAGCCCTTTGGGCCTGTGTTGTAGAAGATGGAGACTGGCAGCTTCAATAGGCTCCCTATGCAGTGTTGGTCATTGCTGTCCTAATTGTCCTCTGTGGAAAATGTCAGTATTGAAGGGACGTGAACACCAAGTAGAGACAGTCATGATATTTGTAACGTTTACAGGCCAATGAGAGCCTGCATACAGAGATACTGCGTTCCAGGGGGCTGTGGTTTAAAGCCTGGAGGCTGTAGTAATAGTCATCTTGTTATGCAAATACTTAGGTTACTTCCTGTGCAGAGTATAAGAATGTCCTACAAAATTAAGGCTTGGGGAGAATTTAGGAGATCCTTTCAAAAGAGTAAGACTCTTCAAAGAACTGATGTCAGTTATCATCTGCTTATCCTATTGTAATTTCTCACGTTGTTAGTTGTGGATTATCTTTAGAGCACTGGATTAGCCCATGCTTGGTGTTTTGGGTTTTTTTTATACTGTAGGTTGTTGTGGTGGATGTCTGGTGGGTATCCCCTCCTGCCATTGCTCTCTGAACTACTCAGTTTAGGATCTGATAGGCCTAGTTCTGTGCACATTAAGGAATTTGACGTGCTCTTCAGAACTAAAATAGAAGCAGTGCCAGAGTGTTTCTGGATCAGACGTGCAAGAAATAAGCACATCAACATGTAGGGTATCATCAGAACCCACTTAATGGGAACTGAAACTTTTTAGGATGAGTACGTTATGATACAACTTGTATTGCAATGTAGTGTTTGGATATAGCTCGCATCCAGATAGCAAGAGCCTTTGTGGGTGAAACGGAACTGCTACTAGCATCTACAACTTGTCGGTTCCCCTTCTGTGAACGATGGGTGAGGAGTGCTGAGCTGCAGCTGCAGTAGGCTTCTTTCTGCCTTTTAAAGAAGTTCTTTTGATGTTGGCAAGACAAAAGGCAACAACTCTTATTTTCGGGTTTAAGAAAAAGATAAAACATACTACCTAGTTTTGAATCCAATACGCTTGCTCTTAATCTCTTTCTACGTGTCCTGTCACTTTTATTTTAGGTTTCCGCAAATACTTTCTTTTTATCCAGCTCAAGGATGACAAATCTGTGATGTGAGTGCCAGAAATGACAACTCCTTTTTCTTCTTTTTGTGTTTGAAACTTTTTGCAGAATCAGAGCACCTAAAGTGTAGCTTTATAATTTGATAGCTTTTTTGGTATTCATTCTTTGTCCTTATTTATTGTGGTTAACATTAAAGGTCAGGCATTGTCATGCAGCACAACACAGTTGTTACTTCTTCATTCCACACGCAAGTGTGTTAGGCAATTTGATACACTGAAGTGAAGAAATGTATTAGTAAGTCTTGACTGGTTTAGCAGAAATTGGTATTCCTGGATGGTTTTGTTTCCCATATTGCGGTTTGCTGTTATTACCTTTCTCATTTAGGAAACTGGGCACTTAAGATCTCTGAATCTCTAG